GGCAGTTGGCAAATGCTGACTCGTTTAAGAATTTTGTATTAATAAAAAACATAACTGTCACACTCTATGTACTTGAAAGATATTTGTAGTTTCTAAAGCTCCACTCAAAGTCAGCATTGTAGTGATTTAATTGTATGGCTCTAGGCACACTGTATCCCTGGGTATTAGAGTCAACAGCGATAAATCAGAATAATAAGCCATTCAAGCAAAACAACCCTATATACAAACTGCTGGTTTTCCCTCCACCGCTCTCCACAGTAACACAGTCTGCACACACTTACAGCATATACACCTGATCTTAAAACTTGTGTCACAGTGGTGTCAGCAGATGCAGTTTAAATGGCCTTCAGCATGCTTTTTAGTAATTATTGGGCTTGTTTGAAAGAGCCTTCACCAGCAGTGCCATCAGCAATGTTGTCCACCCACACTATCCCTCCCAAAGCACTTAAGTCCCAATAAACTCTGCCAGCTTTTCCCCTGGTGGCTGTTAACATAGTTACAATGCTCCAGCAGTGACAACACATCTTTCTGGCTCTGCAAATTCATATTGTAGGAGCACACAGCCACATCTGCCAACATTGTGTAACATTTATTTAGTTGTTCTGACTGAATGAATGGTGTGGATGATAGTATTGCCACGCGGCAGCATGGTAAAGACAGATTGTGTCCACTGCATTGTAGGAGGACTGTACAGACTGACAGATGGACAGGTGCCAAGCTCAGCCCAAGACCAGGCCACAATCTTGTGCCGATAGATAAATGTGAGGCAGCCACTGATAGGTCGCGGAGTCATCATAATGACAGGCAGGCTGGAGCCAAAGGCAGGAGGCTGCAGTTCTGCCCATCCCAGAGGTGTAATGTGCTTGTGATTAACTGTCAATCCCCCCCGTTTGGTGGGCAGACGTTTTATCTCAGTGAGAACCACTCATCATTGTGACAGCTACTGTAGCCCTGACCTTGGCCTCTACCATGAAAGCTGTAGATATTTTCTCAGGGATTTCTAAAGATGTAAAAGATTAATGCAAAATCATTAAAAACTAGAGAGCACCCAGAAAGTGCAAACCTCCGCCAAGGCAGCTCGGATTTCCCATAATCCCATCTGACCTGAAAGCAGTATTCCCATAACTTGATCCTGATAACAAGATTCCTTGACCATGAAAACCTAACCTTAGCATTTTGAATCACATTGATATCATTATTAGTTTGAAAATTATTTAAGAAAAACAGACAACAGACGTGAGCAATTAGCAAAATGGGCTAAATAGCTAAATAAATGTCCCATGCAGACTGAAATAAAAGTCTAGTTATAGTTCTTTATAGATGCACACAACTCACCATTTGACTGCATGGAAGTCCACTTTAGTGTTTTTTACTCAACGTGCCTCCGGCTATACTCGTCCTAACACCAAGTGCTCAGCAGCACAGCTGCTCACGTTCACCACAAGGTGGCTCTCACATACAGTCAACAGCGTTTCCAATGCTCAACATGGTGAATAGTCCTGTAAAAATTTTTTGGATTGAGATGATGATCCAGATCAGAACAAATATCCAACTGATTGCTCCATGGGACATTAGTTTTTCGGTGAACAAATCAAGAAACTTAAAAAAAAACCTGAGTTTCTTTCTTTAAAAAAAGACACATTTCAAGCAGGATGACAGCAGATCAATTCCAGCATAATCAGGCAGGGGGATGTTAGACGGGCCTGTTTAATGAAAGACATTTTGGCATGTTACAGTATAAACAGCACAGCTGTTTCGTGGTAATATTAAAATAATAAAGACAAAAACACAAGATGTGTCCTTTGTGGTGTTTAATGATAAAGCTTTCATGAAAGGACTCGTATAGAAAGGTCTCTGCAGGCAAAAAGCAAAGTCTGGCTTGCGCACTCCCTATTTATAATTTCACTATCTAAGAATGTGCTGCAGACAAAACGGGATGTCCCTTTGTGAAGAACACTGCGCCCTGCACAGCCTCTGCCATATCCTGACATCTGGGCACCAGACAGCAACACAACACAGGAGCACACAGTCAACACAAAAATGTAAACACTTCTCTACACACTTCTCTCTGTGTGATAGGTGTTTAAACAATAGCTTAACCAATATCAAACATTAGAAGCATCTTTCAAATTAATACACTTGATTTATACATGTTATAAAGCAATTTCCACCACAGTTGTAAATAATAAAATAACGGTGGCTGAACTCAGTTTCACTGCTTCAGTTTCAGAGTCCTGGTACTGTGCACCCTGGCTCACTAGTCAGGTTTCCATCCAAATACAGGATATATTTCAACTGAATTTCCACAAAATTTTAACTGAAATTACTTTCTGCTGAAGTAGTAGTCCTGTTGACCTGTGTATTGTTTGGACTTTCCTAAGTAATGAGGACACTGCACCTTAAAGCACATGTTGACACTTTTCATTGCTCTGAGCTCCACAAACTAAATTTTGTCCTCCTCCTTTATATTAGGCTGAATGCAATTAGTGTACAAGACGCACATACACACACATCCTGGCAGTCGTCACTTACAGGGTTCATACACAGATCTACATTCATTTCTAGGAGATTCCCCCAAACCTTAACCAGAACTGACACTTGCCTATCCTTAACCCTTACTCTAACACTTAACCATAGCCAACACTTGCTTTAGCTTTACACCCCACCATTTTTGTAAAATTCGACAAATTAGAGCTGGAGCCCAGCCTCCGGTCCCCACAAAGCAGTGTGCTCCCAGTGTTCCATCCCCACAAGTACAGTATATACAGTAAAATGGTAAATGGTCTTGTATAGTGCTTTTCTATGCATTGTAGCACACTCAAAGCACTTTCACACTACTTGGCCATTCACCCATTTGCACTCACAAACCGGTGTCATTACCGGGAGCAACTGGGGGTTCAGTGTCTTGCTCAAGGACACTTCGACATGTTGACTGGACAAGCTGGGAATCGAACCAATAATCCTCCGGTTACGAAACGACCCACTCTACCTCCTGAGTCACAGCAGTATTATACAGTATAATATACACACGCACACACACACACACACACACACACACACACACACACACACACCTACCCCCCCACCCACCCACACACACACCTACATTTCTTATCCAAGTTTTGGGTCCAAATCTGTAAATGTGATGTCGGCTCCCAGGACCTGCAACACTGCTGAAGGTTGCCTTTAAAATCTTTATCTCATGAAAAAGTAACATTTGACATCGAACTGGCTCCTTGTCAGGTACAGAAATATCAACACAGGGGTGCAGGCAAATATATCAGGGCTATATAAAACTTGAGTAAATAAAGCTAAAACATGGTAGTGAGCCAGACGGCACCATACCGGTGCCTTTGAAAGTAGCTTAATTAAATAGAGGGCAGCCATTAAAAGTAATTAATTACAAGTGTGCTTTTCCTGCACATGACAAAATGACTGCTGTGAAAAAGACATATTAAGTTTTAGTTACTGCTCATACCCAACATTGCATGCACACTCGAGACAGAAAATGCTCAGATTTGAACTTTTATTGTGAAATGACTGCACAAACCACTGAGCCACAGTTAACTAATGGACGGTTTTAGAAAATATGTTCCTGCGTATGCAAAGAGGGAGGAATTCAAGATTCATATGGTTGTATTCTCAGACATTTTAATGCAAATGAACGTTCCATAAGCACTGCTCAGTGACGGTGCTTGTCACTTGATGAGAAATGCCTGTTGTTTGAAAACAAACACCTGCTGTGTGTCTAGATGGTTGTGTGGCAACATAATGGAAACTGTGATGGCTGATTATACGACCATGTTTAAAACAACAGATGCTAAATTTGCTATCATAGGTTAAAAAAACGAGTATAGAAGTCAAACATGGTGCTTCACATTTGTATACAATAGAAAAGCTGAGCCAGGTCAGACACACTTTTTTCAGCATGAAAGTGGTGTCTGTTTTCCAAAGATTGGCAGAAAGTGTGCTTTTCTTCCTCGGTTTTTGTTTAACCTATCGATTACTACCTCTGCTGTCTGAGAACAGACTGATTTTTTTTTCTAGCTCTCTTTGTGGTGCCTGTCTGTGGTGTGACATCCTCGTCCTGACGACACTAGGAGAGAGGAAGAAAAACCTTCAGGAAAAAAAGAGAAAGTCAGAAAGGTAGTAAGGCAGCAGAGCCCAGCTCTCACTGGCTTAGATACAGCACACAACTATGCACACTACATGCAGGAGGGGTGATTAAAAGAGACACAGGGAAAACACATTTGATCTTGATATTCCTCATAACTCTCTTACTTTTTACTCCCTTTGCTGCATGTAATTTATTGCCCTTCTGCTTTTCGTCCCGTTTTGTTTTAATATTCCCCTTCCAAGATTAAATTCTGTTTTGCAGTCTTATCTGCGATTTCTTTCTCTTCTATCTGTGCACCTTCAGAAAATTCATTAGAGCTGGTCACAGATGAAGGGCTTGGCAGGGTCCAATACTGGGATATTTGTCCTTCAGCATGGTGCTAGCCTCTCAAACTGGACTGATACTGCTTGGTGCTGCTAGGTTGGACACACATTAAATGCATGGTGAAATAAGCAGCTATTTATCTAATCTGCATTTTGATGATACAGTGTGTCCTTCTACTGTAAATGGCCTAAGGAGGACAATCACTTCTGTACATGAATATATTGCATTTTCTTGTCCTATCAGAATTCTGAAGTTGTGATTTCTGTTGTCAGCAAGCCATGAGGAAATAGTGGTATCACCATGACAATGGTTAAATGGGCAATTGAGGGGATATGTAAACCATTAACCCATGTTTTTAACATGTCGTTTCGACTTGGGCAGTTCCCCAATAATATGAAAATAGCAAAGGTTATTCCACTGTATAAATGTGGTGATAAGCACAACTTCACAAATTATAGACCGGTTTCTCTGTTGTCACAATTTTCAAAAATCTTGGAAAAACTCTTTAATAACAGATTAGAATAATGATTAAAAAGGACAGGTGAGGGAGCTTGGGTGCACGCTGCACAGAGGAGACAAACCTGTGATATGTGCTCCATCTGTGACTGGATGAGCTTCACAGGATCTTTGAAAAAAACCTTTTCCTGTGGCTTCATCTAAAATAGAAATTTGTGTGGATAATATATTGGGTCATCATCTGTTGGTGGCATCTGACAGTAACCTACAGTGAATATGTCAACCATACCAACCTTATCAGTGATGGGCAGATAACTGCAGCTGGCCCCACATATGCTGCACTGCTCTGAGGGAAGAGACAATCATAAGAGGTGTAGTGTATGTAGCCTGACCCCTGTCTTATTTGAGCAATGATGTAAAATAATTATTGTTAAAAAAAAATGGAGAAACCTATTATCTTAGCGTGTAAACAAAATAGAATATTACTGTCTTACTAGATTTAATGCATGCCTCACAGCAGATGTGGCCACAGCTGGATACAACAAACGCCGACCCAGTCTTCATGAAGCACTTGTTACAGTGGAACCAGTCCATTTTAAGTCCTGCAAACAAACACATTCATCTCACTGCACATGATTGTTATATTATTACACTACAGTATGCGAACACCCTGTTTAAATTAACTCTGTGTACTTCTGGTCCGGGGCTTTAGCATACTGTGATATTTTAGAACAGTGTGGTCCTAGCATGGACCCTGAAACAGCTCAGCTAAATGGAATGCAGTTATCATTTACACCGTGCTTTTCCTGCTATGACTAATCAAAATGCGTGTCGGGAATATGGTCTATTATTTAGCATTGGAATGAGGTGTTCAGCTGTCACAAATGGATATGTTTGGGTGTCTGCACACTTCTGGCCATGTAGTTCCAGCTTTTTCGGCCGCCGGTGACACATACACAAAGTTACCCGCCTAAATTAATCATGTTAGTGTTAGATAATTCTACAGTGACACTACAGGACACACCTAAAACAACGCCGCAAACAACACAATAGCTAGCCAACTACAGTAGGGTTTGCTAGCTGGCAAGCATATGTGTACAATTTGGATAGTAACCAGCGGGAGGTAAGAAACGGACTTAAACCTGTCCTAAACCACGTTAGCTAAAAAAAAAAATCTAATTTTTGTAATATTACCTGTCACCCTGCTCAGAAGAGTCTGAAGTTAACCTATTTCCCATCAGTTTAGTCCCACCTCGGCGCCATTAGAAGACGTTTGTGACAAAAGGCCCAGTTCTGTCTGTTCAAGGCTAAGTGCTGGTCAAATAATGAGCCACTGTGGGCTTTTATCAGTGACGTATTATTTTATACATCACATCACTTAAGGGCCTTCTTAACCATCGAGTAAATTTTAGCTTTGGAAATGTTTGAGCCACTAATTTCATCTTATGCTTGAAAATATTGAACTGGAAAATGTGTCCATATTTTTCCATTTCAAAATATGGAAAAAAAAAAAAAAAAAAAAAGCTCATTGTAAAAATAATCAATAAATCAAAGCAGACAAAACCCTTTCCCCCTTTTCTTGATAGACAACTCAGACTCTGCTTCTCCTCGTTGTCTGCCAGGGCTTTTATCTGCACCTTTGCTTAAAATGGATCAGAAACTGTCAACTGCCAAACTCTGAAGAGCAGCAGCATGGCCATTAGGCAAGCATGGAGACTGCTGTGTTCGCTTTCAGAGGGTGTGTGAGAGAAAAGCTCTGCCAAACCCGAGCCTAAAGGAGCTCCCATGAGCTCAGGGCCCTATTTCTGCCTCGGCTGTACATCTAGGCTGCGCTCACCAGCCAGCATGACTGCAATAAACAATACAGCCAGATGGACAGAAACTGAAGGATCCACTAGCTCTGTACAAAGACGTACAGTGCTCATAAATAACCTAAGCCACCTTAGTTTCACAGGTTTGAACTAGGGCTGATATTCATGATATTCGTTAGGCTAAATCATGATACACAGTATATATCTCAGTATTTTGAAATTTCCTGTAAAGCACTTCATAAATCCTCGATTTAACCCTTTGATGCATACAATCCCACCAGTATGATTATAGTAGCCCCTGCAACATACTGTATGTTTGCATTAAAACATTCTTATTTATATTTATTAGTGGTATCTAACTAGGCCAACAGAGCCGACTGTTCGCCATGGGCACAGTACTAGTCTATGAAAAGCAGAAAGCCATAGGAGAAAGTGAGAGAAGCAAAGCGAGTCTCGTAGAAGTGGCTTTAAAGACATTTAGCCTGCGACTGCTCTGTGCACGTGCACCCCTCCTTGTGTTCCTGGTACTTGATTTTAGTATTACCTCCTGAGGGGTGCTGAAATTTAGCTCCAAGAAGGCCCCTCCAAAGTGGGTCGAGTGTAGTGGGACAAACACAGAACCCGTGACGAGCGTTACTCGGCATGACACGTTTCGATAGGTTCCTATTAATGCAAAAACCCCTGAAAACTTTCTTTTAACCTCTAGTTATCCTTATAGGGCATGCACTATTTTCAGTACATGTACACACATACAGTGTTCCTCTTTACTTTCACACCATGACCCTTACTCACAACTGGAGCTTGCACAGCACAACCCCAGCCCACTGTGGACCAGAGCTGTATTCTCTGGTCACATTTTGTCAGCCAGCCTGGACATTTCCAGGACTTCTCAAGAACATTGGTCAAACAGTCTACTATACATTAGGTAGTACGCTGATTGTATTGAAGTCACAGTATTTCACAGTAATATCTTGTGGCAATATTTCTGCAAATGTTATGTGGACATCACTTTGATTGTTTTAACCTTGTGTGTATAAATCTAATCTTCCATCTTTCGACTGCAGTTGAGGAAGACATTTAGGGGGATGGACAGCAGTTTACTCAAAATGTGTATTTAACTCACTCCACTAGAGAAGTAGAGTCTAACACTGAACAAATGATTACATTTAAACAAAGATGGCTGAGGGAGAATAGTTCTGTGTGGCTGAGTCTGATCTCTCTTTGATTGTTACGGTGAGAGACACAACATGAGTCACTTCAATTTGCAAATTAGTATACAAAGATTCAGTGCTGAGAATACAGTATGCCCACTTGTGTCATGTAGAAACCAGTGCTTTAAAACCTTGCTGTGGTTATTTTTGGTGAGTTCAGTGAGGCAGCAATTAAGTCAAGTGTCTGTGATTTGCCCATCAACTTTGGTGAGTCAGAATGACAGCAGATTCATATTTCCTCAAGGGTTTTGTGCCATATGCTCAGGTATCATTTTACTTCAACTGAATGCATAATTAACTATGACTACACAACGACATAGTCGTGACACAATCCATCAGTTCCCGCTCTTCATCAAAATATGACCACAGACTAAAAATCTTAGCTCACCAACTGCGTTGTCAGTGATCCTACTACTAATTTCTGCTCGGCTTTTGACGGACTTTTGATCGAAAAATAGCACCAGTCCCAAAGTACATGGCTTACTGGTAACCAAAACAAAGCTTCTCAGCCATCTGGTTGATGGTGTGTGTTGCATTTAGAGAGCCAGAGGTCTTACGAGACCAAATGCCAAGAGCGCCTGGAACAAAGAGAGCAGACTGTACATTTCTGTGTTGTGCTGCGACCCGCTGAGCCTCTCAGGGCGCGAGGTCTCATGAGATGAAGTCGAGCAAAGCCAAAAGGAAGATTAAAAAAAAGAAGAAGAAGGAGTGACCTGAAAGCCAGCAGCATTAGAGATGAGCCTTTGAACTAAGGAGTGGGCTAAACCTTCATGCTTAAGACTTTAGATGGAGGTGGCACTTTGCTACTGTAAACATCAAGACCTATGTGTTCATCCACATACATATAATAATATCTGCCTGCAGGACATGATTATAACACACATTCACACACACATGCAACAGACACAGTAATTATACAGTACCAATGCACATTTATATGTGGGAGCTGATTTAAGCCTCTCCATATTCTCTGAAGTGTTCGTCTGCTGCTTGGTAGTGTAAGAAGGTTCGACCCGCTAAAGCCCGTGGAAACAGGATTAGTCTAGCCTGGCTTCCTAATTAATTGTCGGGATGTTTGGCTAATTAATCTTGGTTATCTCGTCCTCTAATCGTAGCAGGAGATAGCACTACTCTGACCCAGCTGCTGGAATTTTTAACAGTCTGTGCTTTCTGTAATCAAGCTCAGAGAAATGTGGAAGAAATATCTGCTTGATTTTGTTATTCTCCTAATTCAATTAAAAAAAGATAGGCCAGCACATTGCAGAAACTGTTGTGCATTGTTAGATTACTCTCTAATTGGTTAGCTGTACTCTGCAGCAAGTTTGGCTCAGTGTGTTTTAAAGAACTTTGCTTGGAACAGAGTAAAAGAGGACAGGATTGTGAGAAGAGAGAGAAAAAGTGAAGTGAGCGATTGTCTGACTGCAGAGCACCTGAAGATGAACTGTGTAGATAGTTTCAGTACATAGTGTAGTGTACTGTAGATGGAGTGTCTTGACATACTAGCAGATATTTGAGACACCCTCACACTCAGAGGCATACATGCCTACAGCAATGAACACAGGTTGGGATGTTTGGCTGCTTCAGCCCTGCCGCAGACAGCTCGCCTCTCCAGAGAGCAGAGATCTTCGTCTAGCACTCCGAGTCTGTTCCGGCCTGTCTGTGTGAGTATGGGCATTTATAATGCACAAACCGGAGCTCAGGAACTGAACTGCCATGCCACCTCATTCTCAATATCATGCTACAACTATGTGTGAAATAAAACCCATAGGGTTAGGAAGGGATGAATTATTTTGAGGCAGCAGAGAGTGAGCAAATGAGTGAGAGATAAAGCTCTGCAAGAGTAGAGATGCAGATGCAAATATGCAGCTTGAAGACAGCTTGAAGTTTGAAATGGAAATGTGTGAAAGTCTGTGTCTGTGGGTGTAAAATAGGTGCATGTGATCCTGGGCAGCGATGATGACTCTGTTCCCAAGGAACCCCAGATAAATTGGGTTAAGCGATGTGCAAATCCCACAGCTGTCTGTGGGAATGTTTTGCAGCCGTTGTAAGGGGCATCCAGCTGCGTATCACAGACTGTTCCTGCCACCTCAAAGAGGAACGCATCAGAAGATGACAGGAGTGGCATCTCCTCCCTGCAGAAGTCGTGTTCATGAGAAAGACTTTGAAACGTTATGTTTCCCACAAGTTGGATTTTGAAAATTCCCTGTTTTCTCTGCAATGAAAAAAGCAAATCGTATAAAAGAACAACTTTCCACTGAAGTTATGATTATGGCTTTTTCTATTGCTCCCTTCAGAGAGCATGGCCTCCAGCAAGGTGACAAGGAAGCAGCCGACAAAGCGGTGGGAGATGGAACTTCATAATTGTACTGTCACAATAAAACTGATGCAGAGCTTCCTGATTTCAGTTTATAGTTATTGCCTCAAAAGTCACATGAATTGACATGAAGGAAAAGCAGTTGATTCATCAAGCATGACTGCCTCACATTTCCTTCCATCAATCAGTTTCTGTATGCACTAAACACAAGCCAGCAGACTGTATGCATGCATGACAGTGTGTGCCTGTGCCAAGATTATTCACACACGCATTGCTTTTGTGTGGCCCCAGCACATGACATCGTCCTCATTCCAGTCATCTGATATTAATATGTAAGCAAATGCTGACAGACAGCTCTGAGTGGAGAACCCCCAGCAGTCATTAGCTGTAACAACCTGGGAGTGTTCCTCAGAGGGACATGCTCTTCACCACAATTACAAACAACACAGAGAAAGCAGCGCCCATGATGCCATAATCGAGCCACCTTGCCGGCGTCCCTATTGTTTTTTTGTTATGCTACTTTTTTTTTTTCCTCACAGCAACTGTGAGGCTTCAAGCTGCGACTAGCACAGGTATCCGCAGTCACATTTTGATCATGATCAAAAAAGACAGTCGCTGTTTTATGCCATTCATGCTGTATAATTGCAGTCAATACTTCTAAAGGTGGGAGTTACTGAACAGATTTGATGGAGGTAGTAAAAACAGTAATGACTAGGACTGAGAAAGAGGAATTGAATGTAGTAATCCTACAGCTGCCATAAAAGCACACAAGGCACTCTTCAAAAAGAATATTTCTCATTTCAGAAACTGTTCTAACCTCTATCCGCTTTATTCCCAAACTCTTGGTGTAGCTTGACATTTACAGTCAGAGCAGGAAAAATGTTCTATCTGCAGCATGTCCATTGTTAGAGGGCCTCCTTTGTTTCTCACGCATATAATCTTCTCAGACATAGTATCGTGCTCCCCTCACCAATGATGAATCCCCATGTAAGGCAAGCCTTCCTCATCTAATTCTTCTGTT